AAAAAGAGGTTTGACATAAAGATTTTAGCCTGTAAATTTGTTATACACCTTTAGTTCAATATTCCTCTTTATACAAATTTAGGTTATTTTGTCTATTTTATATGGTTATGAATTTTACTTATTTCCAATTTTTAGGGTTTTAGGGTTACATTTGGCATTTTGCATTTTAATAGGGTTTAAGGTTTAGCTTACAAATATCTATCTTATTTTAGTTTCAATTAGGTTTAGGATGATGAATATTGAGATTGCCTCCCATTGACCCTTTTTTTTCTCCCCTTATTATTCTATTCCTTTCCCTATTTCCTCTGTTTCTTCCCAATTGTTGCTGCATATCTCAGATTTTCCCTCTAAATTAATATTATGTATCTCTTTCCCTAACTTGTTGTACATCATTACATAACCATGTCATCTCCTCTACAACTATATTAGCATATATAAATCCAAAACACAAAAGGGTTGGAGAGGAACCTGGAACTGCTAGTCCGCTGTTCAGCAATAAAACCTTTTGCCAGCTACGATGCCAGAAAGTAGTAGTGATGTTGGGTTCACTATGTGACAAACTAAGGGAGCAAAACAAAGAATAATAAGATAAATAAATTAGAAATTTATAATATCAAACTGTAGCACATAATTTTCAATCAAGCAGGCCTTTTATCTCATGAGAGGTCATAATAACTATTACCTTAACCTCCCATCAATAGAGGTGGAAGACCATAACATCATATTCCGCAGTGAAGCACCAGTTACATTGGCAGACCCATCAAATTTTTTATGGTGAAAGTTCTCATTTTTTTCAGTACTGCAGCAAACCAATCGACAATTATAACATTTTACTTATCCAAGAAAAAAAAAAGACAACAATAACTTTCTCAACGTCTCACAAGCATTTTTGACCAAGTACATTATGTCAAAGAAGATCAAACGGAAACTTATATACAATTTTGGAATGTGTCAAATGCCATCTGCTAACCTGCCAGGATCAACTCTCTCAGAAAATCAATAGAGAGGACTATTTGGCTCCAATGGTGAATCACAGGAGTCATTTTCAGCAGAATCACTCTCCCCTGCTGCTGAAATATGGGTCATAAAAATAGCTTTTGTTGATTGTGGTATCAACTGGCCAGGAAACCGTATAAGATCAACCAGTAGCTCCACAGAATTTAACACAACCATCACGGACATATGCTTATATGAATCTGCACACTCAACAGCCCCATCATTTGGCAAAGCCGGAAAGAATGACTTGGTAAAAATTGGCATGCCTTGCAGTTATAGATTTGACAATCGGAAATAAAAAATCCCTTGGAAAATCTTCTATTTCATTCAGCTTATTTCACAAGGTTTAGAAATTAGAAACTGATATATGGTACATATCAAAGAAGAAATAAATCACTTGATCTAACCTAACAATTGATGAGAGTGGGAACACAAGAAGACCTTACCGACATGAACCTACTTTCAAGCCCCACAGTATCAGCTAAAACTTAACAAAAAATTGCTCAGGGATGACATGAACCATGCTTTATTTGCCCCAGCAACTGGACACTTCGATTCTCAAACATGTGAGGGGTTTCTTCTAGTGCAAGTTTTGTTGGACTTTCCGCAGTTGGACATTTATAAAAATCAGAAACGTAGGTAAATATAGCAGGAGTTCCATAAAGAAAAACAAACAAACAAAGCATTTATCAACAACCAAATTAGAACTTTGATTAAAATAAAAAAAAAAAACCCAAAGAAATGCTTATAAATGGGCTTCCAACAGGAATACGAGTATTAAAATGAAATGATAAAGAATAAGAAGTTATAGTCTTCTCCCATATTCAAGGATTGATGTAGCCAGCTTTTAATATGGGTTTCAAGTTCTATTTATTTATTCATGTTAACGTGGGAAACTGAAATTAAACTATATGCAGACATAAGAATTTACTCTATCAATGTTTCCTAATTTATAAATTTTATTCAAGAAATGTAATGACTCGTCCATGTCCCAAACATAAATACCAGCATTTTTTTATGTACCATCTACTCTTCAAAATTCTCCTTATAATCTTTTCATCTCTGTTACAGGCCAGGTTTATTTCAGGCAAATTTTCTTAAACTGTCTTTATTCTATGGGAGACAAATTGTTGACAGCAATTAGGATCTCTTTCCTGATTTGTTGGGATTTATTTTCCTGGTCATTATTTAGTTTTATTTGTTTCTATGTTTGGATTATTGTGTCCTGATTTTATGAAATTTTTTGTAAATGTTGGTTCCTCTACATATTTGAGGATTATCTCTCAATAAAAGTACGAGAACATTGTTTTTTATCTCTGTTTTCATGGTATCAAAGCAAGGTTTGCTCTGGTTTTTTCTTTCCTAATGGAAAAAACAACGATAACCGGTGCCTCTCAAGAGAGTGGATCAGAGGTGACTTTTGAACCAATTACTACACCTACTCCAAAGTGCACAATAGCACAAAAAGATAATTATCTCTTGGCTTTGGGTGCAAAATCAGAGTCTGAGAAATCTTGGATTATAGATTCTAGGGCAACCAACCATATGATTGGATGCCATGAATTGTTTTCAACATATAATCCATGTCCTGGAAATCTTAAGATTCGTATTGCTGATGAATCACGATCTTCTGTTGCTGGAAAAGGAAACATTAAAATTTCTAATATGACACTATTTTCAGTCTTGCATGTTCCTAATTTAGTATGTAATTTAGTGTCTTAGTAAATTGACAAAAGACTTCAATTGTGTGGCTAAGTTCTATCCTTCATATTGTGAGTTTCAAGATTTACCTTCAAGGAGGATAATTGGCAATGCTAAGGAGCATGAGGGTTTATACTATCTTGAGGATCCTCAACAAGTGAATAAACAAGTATTGGCTCAAAGTGGTGAATCTATTTCTATTTCTAGTGAAATTATGTTACGGCAAAATAGATTAGGACATCCTAGTTTTCCATAACTAAAAACTCTTTTTCCTCTCTTTTTAAGAATAAAGATGTCCATTCCTTTCATTGTGAAACTTGTCAACTTGCCAAACACACTCATGTTCCTTATCCTAGTCATCCATATAGATTTTCTAAACCTTTTTCTTTGGTGCATAATGATATTTGGGGACTTTCACGGGAAAATAACATAACTGGAACTAGGTGGTTCATAACTTTTATAGATGATCACACACGAGCTTGTCGAGTTTACTTATTAAAAGACAAATCTGATGCTAAGACAATTTTTCAACAATTTCACAAAATGATTCAAACACAATTTCAAGCTCAAATCTAAATTTTTCACACAAACAATGGGAGGCAATACTTCAATTCAATTCTTGGTGATTATCTAAAAGAAAATGAGATTTTTCACCAAAGTTCTTGTATTAGCACCTCCCAACAAAATGGGGTTGCCGAACGTAAAAATCATCATCTATTAGAAGTTACTCGTGCTATCATGTTTACCAATAATGTTCCTAAGTTATTTTGGGAAGATGCTATTTTAACAGTCTCATACTTGATCAATAGACTTCCTAGTAGAGTTCTCAATTTCAAAACACTATTGAACATGTTACTTGAATCATATCCTCAAACTAGGTTGTTTACTTATTTACCCCCAAAAGTCTTTGGTTGCACAGTTTTTCTTCACAAAAAAAGTCCATCTCATGAGAAACTAGAACCTAGAGCTATAAAATATATATTTATTGGGTACTCTCCTACTCAAAAAAGGTATAAGTGCTATTGTCCATCCACAAAACAAACATTCGTCTCATTAGATATCACATTGTTTGAAAATCAACCCTTGTACCCAAAACCAACTCTTCAGGGGGATATACTAGTTGAAGATAGGCTTTGACATTTTTCCATGACACTTCCTGCAACATCAGCTATTCCTATTGTGTCACTAGCAGAAGCTAAGTTGGAAACAAGGACATATTCATCTATGCTCAGTCCTCAACAAATAATAGAGCTTTGTGTTTATCCACAACATGAACTACAGCCTTAGAAAGTACAAACTTTTATGCCCCAGCCCCATTGTCAAGAATCTAATTTGCAAGTAAATTCTAAATCAGAAAATGCTAAGCCTATAGCACCATCACTAGTGAAAACTAATCCACAAGTGAATTTTGAATCAGAAAATGTTGTACCTACAACACCATCACCGGTGAATAGTCACCTGACAATCTAGACATACCTATAGCACTCAGGAAGGGTGTAAGATCATGCACTAAACACCCGTTGTCCAATCATCTATCCTACAATCATTTGCCTACAACATTTTGTGCCATGATAGAAAAGGTTGAGGTAACTAAAATCCCACAAAATATTCAATTATTCATGAAGCTCTTAAAATCCTAGAATAGAAAGTTGCTGTACTTGAAGAGATGAGAGCATTGAAAAGGTACGAGACTTGGGATGTTGTGGAGTTACCTAAAGGAAAAACACCAATTGGATGTAAATGGATGTTTATTATTAAGTATATTCAGATGGTGGAATAGACAGACACAAGCCCACCTAGTTGCAAAGGGATTTACTCAAACTTTTAGAGTTGACTACACTAAAACCTTTGTTCCAGTTGCTAGGTTGAATGCTATAAGGGTACTACTTTCACTAGCTGCAAATCTTGACTAACCATTACACCATATGGATGTCAAGAATGCCTTTCTTAACGAGGAGCTGTATGAAGAAGTATATATGGACTTGCTTCCTGACTTTGGAAGGGGAAACAATGACAAAAAGGTATGCAAATTGAAGAAATCTCTCTATGGTTTGAAACAGTCACCAAAGGCTTGGTTTGATCGCTTTGCAAAATCAGTAAGGAGACATGAATTTAGCCCAGGATAAACCGATCATACTCTTTTTCTCAAACACTCACAACATGGAAAAAAGACTATTTTGATTGTTTATGTTGATAATATTATTTTGATAGGTGATGACACTAAAGAAATAGAGCAGTTAAATAAAATTCTTGGAAAAGAATTTGAAATTAAGGATCTTAGACAATTAAAATACTTTGCAGGGATGGAAGTTGCAAGGAGCAAGAATGGTATTATTATTTCTCAAAAAAAACATACAATTGATCTTTTGAAAGAAATTGGTATACTTGGCTATAAACTAATTGATACACCTATAGATCCTATTGTGAAGTTTGAAAGAAAATGAGGAATTCCAGTAGATAGGGGGAGATATCAACGACTAGTTGGAAGGTTGATCTACTTGTCTCATACAAGACCTGATATAGCCTTTGCAATTAGTGTAGTGAGTCAGTATCTGCATTCTCCACTTGAGGAGCATCTTGAAGCTCTATATCGGATCTTAAGGTATTTAAAAAACACACCAAGTAAGGGGTTATTATTTGAGAAGAATGAACAAAGAAATGTGGAAGAATTTACAGATGCAGACTATGCAGGATTAATTGAAGACAGAAGATCTACTTTTGGGTATTGTACAAAGGTTTGGGGTAATCTTGTCACATGGAGGAGCAAGAAACAGTCTATTGTTGCTCGAAGCAGTACAAAAACAGAATTTAGAGCCCTTGCACAAGGAACTTGTGAACTTATTTTGCTGAAAAGACTTTTAGAAGAGTTGAAAATGTCGATGGAATACCTTATGAAGTTGTATTGCAATAATAAAGCTTCTATAAGTATTGCTCATAATCCAATGCATCATGATCAAACAAAGCATGTGTAAATTGAAAGGCATTTTATCAAAGAGAAGATTGATATGAGAGTGATCTATATGGCCTATGTTCCTACAAAGCAACAAGTAGCAAACATCCTAATAGAGGGACTACCTAAACCGAACTTTGGTGATGCTTGTTGACAAGCTGAAAATCATAAATATCTACTCTCCAGCTTGAGGGAGAGTGTTGACAACAATCAGGATCTATATTCCTGGTCATTATTTAGTTTTATTTGTTTCTATATTTGGATAATTGTGTCCTGATTTTATGAAATTTTCTGTTAATGTTGGTTCCTCTATATATTTGAGGATTATCTCACAATAAAAGTAAGAGAACATTGTTTTTTATTTCTGTTTTCACAAATACTGCTTAACTTTTTAGCAAATATCAGTAGAAAACTGCCTGCATTGAAAGGGAAAAAAACACTACTTTTATTTTACTATTGCCAATATATCACTAAAAGAAAATGAAATATGCTAAAAGTGGTACAGAGGGAAATTATTCACATAACAGGCCAAAAAGCATGCACCTTAAAGAATCCACCAATAGAAGCCCATGCATGAAAGACTAATATAATGTGTTTGCATAAAAAGAATCTTGATTTTCAAAAAGAAAGAAAAGAAAAGAAGAATATTGAATACATAACAAGAACAACATAAATAGATGCATCTAGCTATATGTTGTTAATGACAAGAAAATGAAACCGTGGTTGAGAGGCTATAGAAATACAGACAATGAGAACAATGGGAGACAACGTTGAGAGGCTATAGAAGAAAACAAATATCAAACTATTCTCACCAATCCCACGATCTTTTTAATCATTGCAGCTGGATTTGAGTGAAGTCCTTTAAACATTGTCATAATCAAATGTTTCAGCATAAATAGTTTTTCATCTTTCTTAGCATCCACAAGAATGATATCACCTCTATAACCTTCTCCAACCAAAGCATGAAGCTCTCCCAACGTAGGAATAGTATCAAACAGCTCCTTAAGCCTTTTTTCCTGTAAATAGTAATACTTAAACTTTAAAGAATAATTATAATTATATGAAACAAGACTAATGGAAATCTAAGTGCATAACATATGAATCATTTTTCATTCAAATAACAGTATTAAACATGCACAAAAATATTATTCTGATTTCACATTTCAAGGAATCTACAGAATCCTTTGTGGAAATTCCTAGCCAGATTTCTTTGGCAAGGGTAAAAAGCATTCCCTGAATGGATAGTGCAAAGAAAATATCTAATAACGGATAAGTAAAGGACAAGGAGGTAGCTTCTTTTTTCCTTAATTTTGAATAGCACTTTACCCAATAAGCAACTGCTAAACTTTAATTACAGACACTTACAAATCAGCAACCACCAAGTCTTCCAACTGCAATTAATTTCTGTCTCTTTTATGTCATTACTTTTTCTCAGAATAGAAGACAGTTACAAAAACCTTCTAATCTTTTAATTCAGGGAGTTCTTACAATTTAGCAACCATCAAGTCTTCAAAATGCAATACTTTCTTTCTCTTTAAAATGCCATTACATTTTTTCAGCATAGAAGCAGTCAAGAAATCAAATTCTAAAGCATACGTTCATGCATAAACTGTCTAGAGTCTGCTTTGGGTACAATCACTCAGAAGAGCAATGCCGTCAATCACAAAACAAATCTTATAGACGGTGGACCAGATATTACTGCCTAACATGCAATTTTAGGTTTGATCAAACATCATTAAGTGCTCTGGATGTCATACTGATATGTGGAGTTAGAGCAAAACATGCAGTGGGGAAGCTACATAACCAAGAGAAAAGTTCTAGATCTATAAATTGGAATGTTTTTAAACAATTAAAAGAACATGCAGCGCGCATGGCCTAAATCTTTTTTATGATGTAAATATGCTCTTTTATTTTTGAAAAACAAAATTTTGAAATCCACTATCATCACAAACAAACAAGATTTTGACATTTACAGCCTTCTTCATTTGCTTACAACCTCACTGCAATTCCATATTGCCTTAATCACAAACTAGTCAATGCTGGGAGTAACAAGTATGAGGACCTCAAAATTTCTCTTTTCGCTCTATGAGTCTTAAGGCGTATGACATTTCATGTTTCATTTTTTTAATTGGAATGATAAAGACTCCATTTAACTTAGGTTGATCTAGGCCAAATGCAGATCTGTATCAAGATAACCCTTCCTTCTTTTTTTTTTGGTACAAAGGAGGCTGTTGTTGGGGATTGGAATGGTATTGTATGTGCTGAGATTTGAACTCAAATATGTTGGATGTCACCTCTTAAGGGTGGCTACATGAACCAACTGGACTAAGCCTTGGTTTCCAAGATAACCTTTCTTTGAAACACTTTGGTAGTGCTCCAATATCAATAATTCTTTAAAGACTAATTATCAGATATAGATGACTCCTTGTTAACTTGGCTGCAAATTTCACCTCAATCCCCCTTATACCACAATTAATATATCCCCCATCCTCATTCGTTTCTTCTTCGGTGGAAACAAGGCAGACCTAGCCTCCTCAAAACAGAAACACCATACACCAAAGAGAGTAAGGCAACTTTCAGTGAAAGCTTTCTTCACTAACAAATGAAATTAACCACCTCTAACTAAAAGTATAAAACCTTACTTAACCCAAAATCATTGCCCTGTCATTTTAACACAAAACTTCTTCCTACTCTATAAAATCAGCAAACAACCAGTGAATCAAACTGCGGCATCTCCATAAACAAGTGGTAAAATTAAAAACCTTAATAAGTCTATCAGTAGCAAAAAGCAGTTAGCATATCTTTAAACAAGTGGTAAGTCTTTAGATCATTCCCCTGTCATTTTAACACAGAACATAATCCTACTTTATAACATCAGCAAACAACATCCAGGGAATCAAACAGTGGCATCTCCATAAACAAGTGGTAAAGACCTTAATAAATCTATCAATAGCAAAAATCAGTTAGCATCTCCACAAACAAGTGTCAAGACCATATCGAATCCATCAAAAGCAAACAAAAGTTCATTTCTGACTACCTCACTGGTCTCATCCTAGCATCTTTGAAGTGATTTTTTGAATCCAATGACAGATCTCCTCTATGAGACTATCAAATATCATGTGTTGCTCTAATAAACAAGACAAAAATTTCTTAAGGTAAAAGGCACGGGAAGTCCCTAAACTTTCATTTATATGTCTAATAAATTCCCTAACTTCGAATAATTCCAAACATGTGTTTAACTTTAAAGTATATTGTTTTCTTCTTATGACAATTTGTCCTTGGTAGATGTTATTCTAAGTTACGATGGTATTAAATTTATCACCTATATATCCCTGAAAAGAAATTCTATATAAACCCCTCAAGAAGCCTATTATTAGCAAATAAACATCACCCAAAGTCTTATAATTCCAACTATTATCCAAGTTACATATCCCTATGCTATAAGTCTCCTTTAACAATTTTGTTGTTAGGGTAGTAAGTGATAAAAAATCATTGATAGATAAATAGATTAATCCAATAATTATAAACTAGAAGCAATTAGAGTTTATGAAATTACAAGAATATTAAAAGCTTTATTTTAATCCCAATTTTGGAATTATAGTGATAATAATAAAATCTTAATGTTAGAAAAGGAAAAGCCTCAAAAGAAATAGTTACTAAGGATATTGAAAAACACGTAGAAAATTGAAATATAGCAAAAGGAACCAACCTATTTGATATATATATATATATATATATATATCAAACAAAAATACACAACTCCCATAATTCATTCTTGCATAATCCAAACAAATAAATAATACTAGATGATTCCTTAAGATATCAAACAAGAAAGAAGATATTAGCAACAAGGGTTAATATGTAAAATAGCCCTTGTACTATACATCTTCTATTAGTTTGGTACTTAAAGAAATAAAATTCTCACTTCATTACTTAACTTTTATTTCGTCAAGCACTTTGATACTTCACACTATTACTATTAATTAAGTAGCTGACATGGTATGAATACCTAATAAAATCATGCTAGTCCAGTCATCACCACATCAGCTATTGCCAAGTCGACAAAAATTTTAAAAAATTAAAAAAATAATATCTGATTTTTACAAAAATTCAAGAAAATAAAAAATAGAAGGAAAAGATTAGAGGGGGAGAGAGAAGGGGAAAGGGTAGTGTCACCTACCATACTAAGGTCAGATCGATGCCTATTTACCTCGAAACTGGCAGATCAACGCCAATCTAGCTCCAATGAGCCGAGTCAACGCCGACCCGCTAGGTCCAGAGCAAACCTGCCCCTATCCAGCCAACCTCTTTCTCTCTCCCCCTGATTCTTTCTTTCCCTCTTTTTTTTATTTTTTATTTTTTAAAATTTTGAATCAAAAATATATTTTTTAAAAAGTTTTTTATTTTTTTAAATGTTAACATGGAAAATAAACGATGTGGAAATGACTGAACATTTATGCCACGTAATGATTTTATTGGATTTAGTGCCACGTAAGCAACTTAACTACCAATGTTAGTATAGAATATCAAAATGCTTGACAGAATGAAAATTTGGGTACCAAAGAATTTTATTTCTTTAGATACCAAACTGACACAAAGTGTATAGCAAAAAACCATTTTTGCATTTAACCCTAGCAACAATTATGTATGGTCAATTACCCTTTAAAAAGAAAACAAAAGCACATAGACAAAATTAAATAATAAAATGACAAAACATATTTAGTGACTAGCTTCACTGGAGAATGCTACCAAAAGTAAAAGCATTCCTTCACATTCCATATGGAAAAATAATAATTTATTCACACTCCACTGGGGAGCCAAACATACTGCTACAATGCTTTGTCTTCTAAGCAAAACCTCTCCTTCATGTACTCAACACCAAGCCATAATTTTTGGCATGACTTGAGTCGCAATAATTGTATACAAATAAAAGACTACAACCCCTTTCCTCAAAACAATCAAGTGGGAAAAATTCTGCATTATCCCTTACCTTTATGAATTTAGAACTAATAGGAAACCCAT